AACTTGCAATGATCCTCCTGCCTTAGTCTCCCAAGTCCTAGGATTACAGGTGTTCACCAACACATCCCACAAATTTGTGCTTTTTCTTTCCTCTTTTTGATAAGGTTGGCTAATGGTTTACCAATTTTATTTATTCTTTCAAAGAATAAACTTGATTCATTGACTTTTTGTATTGCTTTATTAGTCTGTACTGCATTAATTTCCATTCTTATTTTTGTAATTTATAATTTATCTTTATGTTTCCTCCATTGTATATGCTTTGGGTTTGATTTGTTATTTTTCCAGAGATTTGAGCTTTAACAGTGGGATATTTATTTGATCTCATTCTGTTTTCCTGATGTGTGAGTTCATCACTATAAATTTCCCTCATAGGACTGCTTTCATTGCATTCCATATGTTTCGGTATGTTGTATCGGCATTATCATTTAATTGTATGTGCTATTTAATTTCATCTTTAATTTCCTCTGTGACCCATCAGTTGTTCAGAAGGGTTTTGTTTAATTTCTATGTGCCAATGTAGTTTTTGTGCTTTCCTTTGCATTTATTTCCAGTTTCATTGCACTATGTTCAGATAGTAATCATAGGATGATTTAAATTCCTCTACATTTACTTACACATGTTTTGTAGGTTAATATGTGGTCTGTTTTGGAGAATGTCCCATGTGCAGTGGAGAAGAATGTGTGTTCTGATGTTTTCGGGTGGAACACTCTATAGACAACAACCAAGTACATTTGTTCACAGCCTTGGTTTAATTCTAATATTTCTTTGTTGATTTTTTGTCTAGTTGCTCTATTTGTAAGAGAACAGTATTAAGGTCCTTCACTGCAACTCTGTTAGTGCTTTCATGTCTGTTAGTATTTGTTTTATGTAGTTAGGTGATCCTGTGTTTGGTGCATAAATATTTATGATCGTTATCTCTTCTTCTTGGAGTCTTCCCCTAATAATTATGCAATGACTTTCCTGTCCCTTTTGATCAGTTTTGGCTTAAAGTTAGCATTGTCTACAAATAAAATAGCTACTCCTGCTTTTTTTCCTGAGGCATGGAGAATTATTTCCCATCCTTTGATTTTAGTTTATGAATTTCTTTTTGGGTTAAGTATGTTTCTTGGATACAGCGTATTGTTGGATCTTGCTTCTTAATCCATCCTACCAGTCTGTCTCTTTTGATTGTTGAGTTGAGACCACTTAAATTGATATTATAACTGGTATGTATTGGCTTTTATTTTTCATGGTGTTTTCTTGTTGTTCATTCTCTGTCTTTCTCTGTTTAATCACTTTCTCTGCCTGGTGGCTTCTTTCTATTGGTGTTCAAGGGCTTGTAGTCTTTGTTCTATTTATCTGTATGTCCTTCAGAGAATTCTGGAGAGCTGGGTTGGTGGTCATAAATTTCTTCAGCTTCTGTCATTGAAATATCTTATTTCCCCATCAATCTTGAAAGATAATTTTCAGAGTGTATCAATTTGGTATGAAGATTGTTTTCCTATAGTGCTTGATATACCTCATTCCCAGTTCTCCTTAATTTGAGATTTGTGTGGAGAAGTCTTCTGTAATTCTGGTGGGCTTTCCTTTATAGGTAATGTGTTTCTTTTCTCTAGCTGCTTTTAATTTTTGTTCTTGTGCTGAATTTCTGGAATCTTAATTATTATAAGCCCTGGTGTAGACTTATTTTGGTCATGGCTATTTGGAGTTCTATATACTTCATTTATGTGTATGTCAAATTCTTTATCCATGTTTGGGATGTTTTCTGACATTATTTCTATGAAGAGGTTTTTAATGACTCCTGTGTTATCTCCAGCTTTCTCCCTGATTTCAGTCAATCTTATGTTCTTCTTTGCTTCAACCTGTAGTTTATGGGCTGATTTTTCATAGTCTCTTGCCATTTTTAAGTATGTTTCTTTTCTTAGTTGCTAGTCACGTTCCTGTCTTCTAGATCTGATATTCTATGCTCACCTCCATTCAATCTGCTGTGCATAGTTGCCGTGGAGTTTCTAATCTGCTGCATTTCTTTTTGGATCTGTTTCACTGATCCAATCCTAGTATACATTTGGCATTCATGGTTTCCATCTTTTTCCTGAGCTACTCTGTTTATCTGTGTCTTTTTTAAATGTTTTTCATTTTGATATTTCGATAGTCATTTCTTTTCATACCTTAGAAATTATTTTTTCTAAGGCTTCTTCCATTTGTTTTTTAACTTTTGATTCTATCATTTCAGAGAGTTCCATTTGTTGGCTTCTGATTTCCTTTACCTCTTTATGCTCTGGACTTGTCCTGCGAGGGCTGGGTGTTTGATATTGCATTTTTCTTTTCTATTTTCTGTTTTATTTTGTTTTCTATGTTGATGCTTGTAGATTTCTTATCTTAGATAGCCTTATTACTGTATCAAGACTTACCTAGGAGGTGTCTGTTCCTCCAGATATCTTCTAGGTATAGGTGGTTCTTGGTCTTTATATCTATCCCAAGAACCTACCATCCCAATATATTAAGACTGAGAAGCTGCTATTTATTTGATTTTAGAGCCCATTCCTTTGGTACTGGACTTGTTGGTTATGATGCCTTACAATTGCAGTGTTGTCATATAGGTTGAAAAACTGCTTATAGCATGTATGATGTTCTGGTTAAAGCAGTTTAGTTGGCAATAACAATAGACTCAGGTATAGCCTGGCTACTGATAAACTGGTGACTATTAGCCTAATATCTATAATGGTTGGGGGAAGGAAATATAATATAATCCAACTTATACCAGCAACTTGTATGCAATGATTTTCTACTTAGCAGAGTGATTTAACTCTGTTGTGTGTGGGAGTGCTCAAGAGGGGGTAGGATGGAGTAATAAATTAGGTTAAATATAATAGGATTAAGACTGGAGGACACATGGTGATCATTCAGGTTTTGGGTAATTGTAGAACACAGAGGGGAAGGGTTGGAGGAAAAGGCTTAGGAGTTTTAAAGTGAACCAGAAAGAGAAGAGACAAGGTTTTCTCACACAAAAGTATCATAAAGTCAAGCAATATTTGAGTTAACAAAATAGAGGAAGAGGACACATAGAATAAAACAAAAAGAAAGATTAGTGATCTAAATTATGAATGAGAGAGAAAAGAAGAAGAGAAAAAGGTAAAGAAAGAAAAGAAACAACATTAAGCAAAAATATTCTTACACACTGAAAAAAAAAACATACAGAAAGAAAAACAAAGTAGGAGAGACAAAATATGAGGGAAAAAAAGGAAAAACAAACAACAAAAACATACAAACAAAATGAAAAACAAAACAAAACACTAATTCAGTCAAATACCAAGAAGGAAACCAATCAGACAGGGAAAAATGAAAATGGTGGATTCCTCTAGTGTCTATAGTTCTGTAATAGGTACAAATCAGATCCCAGAAATATGTGCTGTGGCCATGATTGCAGGTGGGTTTGTCCTGAGTTTGAGTCTGACCTTTGTCTCTGGATTTGGGAAATGGGATTAGTTCTCTATGGCTAAAATTCTCACCAGTCATTTAGAAAAGAAAAGAGAAGGAGACAGCCCTACCCTCCCACTTCCATTTTCATGTTTGTGTCCCTAAGCACAACATTGGTTCTCCTAATTTCCCACCTACTGGCTTGTATTGTTGCTGTTGCAAGAGACATTGACATGCCTCCAGTTATACCTGCCCTTCATGTGTTCCTCAGCCAGGGTGCTACTGTGTGAAGGTCTCCAGGTGCTGAGTCCCACCAGTGGAGGAAGGGAGGGGCAGATCTGAGACTTCTTGCCGGTTACTGCCATTCAGAGTGGAAGAAGGAAGAAGGTAGGAGCTGATCTCAGGGTCTTCTAGCCAGCTGCCCAGTCCCAGGTCAATGGAAACAGGAAGGAGAGCCAATGCACACTCCTCTCAACCAGTCATGCAGTCCAGAACAATCCAGTCTCACTTTTTTAAAAGGAAATGTTTGTATATTACAAGTGTTTTGTTGTAGAGAATGTATTCTGTTGTATTTCTCAAACAGTGCCAAAGTTGGGGTTTTAACAAGCAATTTATTGGTATTTGGACTGCAAATTCTGTTGCTCAGACACTTGACAAAGTACAGCAGTGGCTCATATCTTAGTTCAAATCTTAGCTGAGCTGCTTGAAATCTATCCTTTGTATATGGTCTGGGGGGAACAAGGAATCTATGCATAGTTTATACATAAATTTTGAACTCCTTTTCTCTGTATTTTTTCTTTCTTTGATTTCTCCCTTACTTTGCAGGGTCTATGGTTGCTACCAACACCTTGGTTCTCTAAGCCAGAAAGAGTTAAAGGTTTTTTTTTATCAGCCGGCATGGTTCTACTTATTTATATCTGAGGATCCCCCAACTCAGACACAAACAGAGAGAGGGAGTAATGCTTAACTGTGCAGGACTATTTGCATGACACCTTTGAGGTCAAGGAGTTACCCTGATGCAAAGACTTGCAGGTACTGTGTGAAGGGTTCTCAAGATTTCTTTTCTTTGGCTTCCTTTTTGAGAGCTCCAGCTGCTCCCAGCAGTGCTAAAAGGATGCTTACCTGGTGAAACGAAGACCTTTAGCAGAGCCTTGTGACTATCTCAGAGATCAAAAATCTCGAAGGACCTTTCATTTTAAAGACAAGAAAACTGGGCCTCAGAAAACTGGTATATTTCTTCAAGCTGCTCAGCCTTTTAGTGGCTGAGTTACCTCCAGGGGTCAGTTTCTCAATTTTTCATTCAATGTTCTTTCTGCCATATATGGTCCCCTCTTCCCTGCCCACAGGTTACCACCTAATAGCAACTGCAGTGGCCCCGCTGGCCTGGCATGGCATAGGGGAGCATATCCATCCTTTGGGGGTCATGGTTTTATATCTTTTTTTTCTAACTTATAGTATTTGTTAAACATAATACATATCCACCAAGCCTCAAGTAAGTCCTACTGAGCACCATCCCATCAATGAACTGATACTGCAGGGTTCCAGACATGGTAGGGACTCCGTGGCCCTTACCCTCTCATCACTCAGTCCCCCACTGCACCCACCATAGATGCGAAAGGCGTACTCAATCTTCAGGCTGGGACAGGCCTGCTCGCTGAACACAGAGGCCATGCCCAGCACGTCTTCGAAGGAGAACACATTGTTGTGTGAGAACACCCTGCAGATGCGGTCTCGAAAAGGGTTGACCTGTGCACGGGGAGAAGGAGAAAGGGAAGGCCTATCAGGCTCAAGGCCCCTCAGTCTCTCTCACCTGCCACAAACACTGTGCTCTGGATTTGAGGAAAAAAATAACCCAGCAACTATCTAAATAGCGGAGTAGATGCTGGCTAAGTGGGCCAAGACCTTGAGCACAATTTAGGTACTAGGAATGCGGAGCCCTGCTGAACACTACCCACCCTCCACCGCCATCCTTCTACACACCCATTCTAAAGACTTGCTTTTTGGCTATGTTATTCTTTTTTAGGATTATTTTTTTCCATTTTATGTAGAAAACTTGGAAAAATTTTTTAAAATCTATAAAGAATAAGACAAAAATCCTTTGTAGTTGCTTCCCTAGAGTTGGCTACTGTCAACATATTGATGTAGAAGTGACACGGACTTGGGTTTTAGTCCTGGCTTCACTCTTACTGAGTAGCCTGTTAGTCTAGACAAATTGTATAATCTTCCAGAGCTGAAGATCACTCATCTACAAAATAGGGAGAATAATTAGAGCTGCCTAATAGGATTGTCAAGAGGATTAAATGGGAAAGGCTTAAAGTTGCACTGTGATTACTGTTTCTGTTTTTGGTTCTGTTTGTTTTTTTATACAGGGTCTTCTTACGTAGCTCAGACTCATAGCAGTCCTCCTGTTTCAGTCTCCCCAGCATTGGGATCACCACCATACCCAGTTTCCGGGCCTACACAATGCACCCAGGATTCCAGTGCAGTATGCAGTACCGGGGATTGAACTTGGGACCTTGTGCTTGACAGGCAGGCACTTAGACTGCCAAGCTATCTCCCCAGTCCTGTGATCACTGTTAATTATCACATAACTACCACTGATATCATAATTAACATAGCCACTTTCATTTTAAATCAAACTATTTCTCAAATTAGGTCACTAAACTAAGTGTTGCATGATTTTCGAAGCCCTGGTTTTCCTGAATTGGACCTCACCAGAGTTACATGTGGCACAGGAGGACCCTTCTGTGCTGCCTTTTCTCCTCCTGGGCCTGTGACAGCTGAGCTGCTCCCTTACATGCTCAAATGCAGCTTGCTAAGGCTGCTTGCTACACTCCCCCGACACACCCCAGACCCCAGGAATGGACAGGTGGAGCAGGCAGATTCTAAGTTGTCTCCCCCAGGAGCACATGCTAAAGGCTTTGTCATTGGATTAGCACTATTAGGAGGAGGTGGGACATTTCAGAGGTCAGGCCCAGAAGAAAATCTTAGATCCCTGGCTATGTGTCCTTGAAGAAGATAGTAGGAATCCAGCCCTCTTTCATACTCCTTTGCTCCCTGGCTGCCTAAGTAAGCATCTTCCTCCTCCACACAACCCTGCCATGGTTCACTGCCTCACTGCAGGCCCAAAAGCAGTAGGACCAACGTATCTTGGACCGAACCCTCTAAAACTAAGAGCCAAAATAAATCTTCCGTCTTGTTAAATTGACTCTCTCAGTATTTTGTTACAGTGATGGAAAGTTAACCCAGTGTTTAAGGGGAACCTTAACAGTACGCCTCTCCTCCCTTCCCTCTGTGTTCGCGATCCATTACCACTGAAAGGAAAAGCCCGTGGTCATGTTCCCCGAGTTGCATCCCTTACTTTCATTCTTCTGTCCCATAATTATGAAGTCCACTTAATCTGTTTATTGTAAAAAAAATTCCTGATCAAGAGACATTCAGCCCATTAAATAGGAGACCTTGTACAAAAATGAAACAGAGCAGGGGACATACATGTATTCAAAGACCCAATCCTGCGAGCAACAGGCTCTTAAATTTGTCATTCCTTTTAACACTTTAAGAGGGTGTCTCAGTTATTTTTCTCTCGTTGCTGGGACAAAACACCTGACACCCAAAAATCAAGGAAGGAAAGTTTTATTTAGCTCACTGTTAATGGAGGTTTCAGTCCATACTCAGCCTGGCTCCCAGGCAGAGCAGCACATGGAAGAGGGCAACTGTTCATGGCAGCAGAAAACAGCCAAAAGCAAAGGGAGGGGCAGCAGCTGTGGCAGCTGGCTAGCCTCTTTCCCCTCCTTACATTTGTATGCAGATTATCTGCCCCAGATAATCTGCACTCACACCTATAATCCCAGCATTGGATCATGAATTAATCACAAACTCTAGAAGCCACCCCATGACTGCATGAGGCTTGGGGGACACCTAAATACAAACCATAATAGAGAGTGTTGCTTTTGGCACTTTGGAGTCAATGGCCCTTGTCATATCTTTATTTTAAACAGAGCTTGTCCCTGATTCAAGTTTTTCTTTCTCTATGCTTTTATTTCTCATACCCACACCTTAGCTACATTTTGTTGCTGAGACAAAATACCTGACACCCAATCTTAAGGGAGGAAAGGTTTAATTAGCTGATAGCTTGTAGAGGTTTCAATTCATAATTGTCTGGCTCCAAAGCAGGGTGGCATGGCAGAGGGACACAGCAAAGAAAACAACAGTTCATGGTGGGCAGAAGGCAATAAAGCAGAAAAATAGTGAAGAAGCAGCAAATGACGAACAGTAATGACAGCAGCGCTCTTTCTGTCCCTCATATTCTATCCAGCCTACCCACCTAAGGACAGGTAGACTCACATCCAGGGTGAAGCACCCTTAGTCCTAGCAACACAGCACAATTCAATCCCACTATCACATTCTTAATCCTGATATCACACACTCTAGATCCAGCCACCTCTGAAAAGCCACCTGTGACCACATGAGGTGTTAGGGGGACATCTAGACACAAGCTGTAACAACTCAGCTCCCTGAACTCCTCTCCTCATTTGCTCAGCAGTCCAGGTCTTGCCTAGTCTAAAGTCACACCACCTGCTGGCAAACATCAAACTTGAGCTCTGCTTTTCTGACAAATGACCTCAGCACCTCCCTCAACCCAACCCAAACCCTCTTTCCTTACAGACGCCTCAGCTAAAAAAGCTCCTTGACCCTGTGAGTTCACACAGCAAATATGAATGGCCATTGGTTCCTTGATTCTTTAGGTCCCTTTCCACTAACAAAGCATTGTTTGAAGCTCCAGGCTTCACGCAAAGGCTTATACCAGCCCCCTGCCTCCATGTGCAATGGGCCGTCATCTTCTTCCTGCACAGCTGGCAGCTGGACCCCAGGCAAGCCCGGTGCTCTATATGCCCACCTAATGGTCCTTTGGGCTGCTCCAATATAAGACAAAGCTCAACATCCTGGTTTTGATCCCTCAGCTTTTGGCACGTGATAATTTTTCTTTCATTGCTTTAGAACTCAAGTACATATCTGAATGTATAGTTTTCTTTTATTCACTCTTTCTATATACTTGAGGTGACAGGGACATTATGCACTACCTCGGGCGGCTCTGTGTGTTCTCAAGCCTTAGTGAGCACCCAAGTCACCTGGGATTCTTATTAAAAGCATGAATTTATGTTCAGCAGATATAAAGTTATGTCTTGTGTGCTGGAAATCTTAAGAGGGCAGGTGAATCTTGTGAAAAGTGTTCTTAATCACAATTTTTAATTGCAAAAAAGAAAGAATGCGTTCAAATACATTCTGTAAACACATACTCAATTAGAAGCTCGCTCCCTCTGAGATCCTGCTGATTTATTAGAAGGACGGGAGTGCAGCCCGGTGCTCCAGATTCCATTGCAGCCCCTACACAATCCATACACAGTACTAGTCCGCAGTACCGCAGAAAGTGACCTTTTTGGAAACACAGTTGTCACAGCTATCACTCGTTAGACTAAGGAGAAGGTCCACAGAGAAGGACAGCCCCTAATCTAATGGAATGGGTGTCCTTATCAAGAGGGAAAATTAGGACACAGAGACACATGTTCAAGGAGAAAACCATGTGATGATAAAGGTAGACATCAGGGTGCTGCTTCTCCAAGCCAAAGAACACCAAAGATGGCCCGTGAACCACTGGAAGTTCGGGAGAGGCCTGGGACAGATTCTCCCTCTCAGTCCTCTGAGAAACCACCCTTGTCCATATCCTCATCTTGGACTTCTAGGCTCTGGAACTGTGAGACAATAGGGTTCTGTGGTTCCAGCTACATAGTGTGTGGTGCTTTTGTAACAGGAATGGAAAAATGGAATTTTAAGAGTTAGAATTCTTTCCTTTAGAGACAAGTGGCTTTATCAAACTTCCTCCAGCCTAAGACATAAATGCTACTCCTTCCTCGCCTCAGCACAGGAGTACGGGCAGAATATGCAGATGCTGGCACTAGGAGGCTGACTTCTCCAAACGTCCTCATGCTGAGGGTGTAACCTCCCTTGCCCTCAGCCTAGATGGACAGAGTATGTAGGTGCCAGTCCTAGAAGGTCAGGGTCCAGGAGAGATAAAGCCCACCTGGAGATGTGCATTGTCCCTCCTGCTCTGCACTAGGAAAGGCTTTGCACACTTGGACACAGCGAGACGGTGATTTGAGGCAAATGAGCCTCCTCTGTCTTCTCAGAACTAGCTTTCACCAAAGCCATTTTCCTTTTCACCGCAAATAAATAGCCTCCTCTGGTTTGGTCAGTGGCAAGAAAACAAATTTGAATGTATCAATGTGAGGGGCCAGGAACATTTTATTACAGCAACCTTAATAAACAAACACACCAGAAATCTGCTTTGTAAGTAAGATCCCCACATGATGGGTCTCTATTGTGTAATTATCTAAAATTATAATTATATATAATTTCACAAGATATATATATATATATATATATATATATATATATATATATCTTTCAGGAGTGACTCGGGGCCAGGGGAATCCAAGCTGATCTGCTAGGCATGTCTAGCTCATAGCTCATGCTTGTCATATTATTCATTTTAATGTTATAAAAATAGTTTTTAAGGTGCTAGGCATGGTAGTGCATGGCTGCAATCCCAGCACTCAGGAGGGATTCAAGGCCAGCCTGAGCTACATAATGAGTTCAAGGCCAGCTTAGACCTTGTCTCAAAAAATTAAACCTGAAAAAGGAAGCTTTGTTGCTTATTGCAGTAATTGCACTGTATATTTCGTATGCGG